CAGTATATTGCTGGTGAAACAGCCACCGCTCCAGAATCCCTCTGTTAGTGGCTTCCTCCAGTGAGCCTTGCTAGCAGAGGGACTCAGGAGCGGTGGCAGTTTCACCAGCGCTATATTGCCGACTGAAACCGCCACCTCACTCTGCCCTCATACTGCGCAGAGGGAGAACAAAGCTGCGCTGGTGAGGCGCAAATACAGCTTGTTCTTCCCTCTGCATCTTTAAACTGCTCGGCTGAGGAGGGCGCGGTTGCTACTCCACTCTGCCAAGTAGTTAAGGCATGGGTAGGCAAACTAAGGCCCAGGGGCCGGATCCATCCCAATCCAGACGGATCCGGCCCAAAGTCGTTCATTTCCCCCCCTTCAAAATCTAGTCCGGCCCCCCACAAGGTCTGAGGGCCAGTGGACAGGCCCCCTGATGAAAAAGCTTGCTGACCCTTGAGTGAAGGGATCCCCGAGCCTGGCGATGGCTCCCGCGCAAGCAAGGAGGGATGGCTGTGCAAGGGATGGGGAGCCCTCCAGCTGAGCCATACGAAGAAGCTGCCTTGTCCCAGCCTGCCAGGCACTGGGGTAAAACGGCCTCTGCTCCCGCAGTGAGAGCTGCGGCAATTTCACCCGGCGCCCACGCAGCTTGTTTTTTCTACATCGCGGTATATTGCCAGACCACAACATTTGGCTGGTGATATACTGCTGGTGATATAAAGTGAAAGGAAACCCTCAACCAGTGGATCAAAGTAACAATACATTAGAAACAAAACTAGAATTTTATTAAAACAAACTCAATGAGGGTTAAAGTCTAATGGTTTGCTCTGAGGAAGCACAACACTTTGTTTTGGTCAAAATCACTTTACAGACGTAATTAAGAACTTTACTTTAAAATTCCACTGTTTCTCATTAAACTGATTCCTCCTAGAATGGCTGTATGTTCTATTAAGCCAGCAAAACTTTTCCAGCAGGCTTCTAGGACCATTTCCTTTCCCTCAGGGAAATAATGTGGGGTGCTCTACCTAGAAAACCCCAAACCACGCAGCTAATCCCTAGCCAAGCCTTATCTGGCTGTTTAACTGCCAGGCTCTCTCTTTTAAATCTACCCTCCCCTCCAGATTGGCTATTGATTCTCCAGGAGGCTGGACCAAGCTCTGTCCATCTGTTGCAGAGCCATCCAGATTATTTGAACTACAACTCTCATCAGTCCCAGCCTACACTACGCCTAAGCATCGAAAGAGCACTAGGCTGGCAAAAGCTGCTGCAGAGAATTGCCGTCTAAAATGCCCAGAAACTGTCCAGAACCAACGGTCTTTTGGTTGAGTCTAAACACACACAATGCCTACTTTTATAATAGTTTCAGAGGTGAGTTACTTTTGTCCCAGGGCATTCCTTTACACAGAAATGCAAGATTCAATTCAGTGTGCCTCATAAAGGGTCATGGAACCAGTTTTCATGATAATATTTAGTATGTGAATAGCCCTTTCAAGTGCTGAAAGGACACAGAATCATAGAGTTGGAAGGGACCCTGATGATCCAACCCCCTGCAATGCAGAAATATGCAGCTGTCCCATATGGGGATTGAACCTGCAACCTGGACATTATCAGCACCACACTCTAACCAGCATCTTCTCCTTGTAATTTTTACAAGAACCCTGTGCAGTCAGTCAGTATTATTGTCCCCCAACTGCAGATGAAGATGAGAGCGATTTATCTAAAAGCCATCTAGCAAGGTCTTAGCAGAGGCGAGATTCAAACTGGAGACTTCCTGGTTTGCAGTCCAGTCACATAATTGCTGTGCTAGACCAGCTTCCATACGATCTTTGTTTACATGCTTGCATTACATTCCAATTTAATCTCTTCTTTTTTGAAAGCGTGATTTAACAAGTACATTTCTTAAGTCAAAGTAAAATGCACATCTTATTTTTGTTTTATCCTTGACTTGTACCAGCTCCAATCTGTAGCCACTTCTCGAAAAGTAATTCTTAGGCCTGCTTTCCTTTGCTGTTATCCAATGATTGTGTTCTGCTTGGGGGCAGGGATAAGAACTTGCATCACTCTAAGTGATTTCGGACTGTCTCCGATCCCATCAGCATTTGCCACTGGTCAGGGGTGGTGGGAGTTGCAGTCCTAAGTCATCTGGAAGGACATAAAATCTGGAAGGCATGAAATATTAAAGCTGGCTAGCTTATTCAATTTCACCTCAATCACTTATCTTGTGTGTGAAAGCAGACAGTTCATTGTGAAGCTGGCCTCATTCATCATGCAGAAACACGGAAAAATGAAAGGAACAGTAGCTTTGTTCAGCAGTGGAAGAACCCATTGGCCTCATCTCTCTGTCTCCATCACCTTCCATGTGTCAGGAAGGCAAACTGTGCAGTGCTGGGACACTGTGCTTGCGCAGGAGCCACGTGTGACTGAGATCCCTGCTGCTTTTGGGTTCTAAACCATGTGGGGATCTTTCCCACACAGTCTCAGGCTGCGTCTGTGCACAACCACCTGCTGGTCAGCCCATTTCATTTCTCTGCGGGTCCTAAGAGACCAGGGGGCAGAGGAGCTGGTCGCAGCAGGAGGGGGAGACTCCCTGATGGTCTGAAGCAGGGGTCGGCCAGTTCACTCCAGTGGAGATCCTCTGTGGGCCGGATTGTGCACGCGCATGAGTGCGCGTGCCTGCGATTTCCGGCGTCTGTGATTTTCAGTGCCATGGAAGCGAGTCCCCACGCCATGCTGCGCCAGTTTAGCACAGCTCATGGGGACTCGCCGAGCGGGCGGCTCGGTGGCGGCTCATGGGCTGGTTAAACGACCCCCATGGGCCGCTTGTGGCCCATGGACCTTAGGTTGCCGACCCCTGGTGAAGCAAGCCACTATTCCCTTAGTCTTTCCCTTGCAATCTGAAGTCTAATTTACACAGCTGTAAAGATTACCAAGATAAATGCATGTGAAGGCTAAAAAAATGCTGAACCTTTCCATTTGTACGGTATCCTAGATCTGAAGGTAAGTCCAAAGGTTTTTGTGCTTTTCCACCTTAACATTTTCCCTGCATGCATAGGTAATTTCCCTTTCTGCTCAATCCCCACAGGGTTGGGGGAGGGAATACATCTGTTCACAGTGGATTAGTAAGCAGCATCCTATTAGAAATTCTCCAATCAACTTGAGAAACATGCTATTTGAAAACCAATATATTATTAACACCTCTCTAAAAATAAAAAATGTGATTGGTGTTTTGAAACCAAGGGAAAGAAGAAAAGTCTGGCAAGTGCTCTTCAATGTCCACTACAGAGTGGTTTCTGCAAACTCCACTGACTCATGAATTTAGTTTTCCCAGTCATATGACCTGCTCGGCAGACATTCCAGCAAGGCTTTGGTCACATGGGCAGCTGAAGCCAGCCTCAGACAATGGGTCACAATCCCTCCCCCAACTAACCACCCTGCCCCCTGCAAAAGAACTCTGAGTGATAAAAAGCTGGGCGTTATCAGCTGCAGGGGTCAACAGCTGCAGTTTTCTCTAAGGCTCTCCAGCGCTTTGACTGCAACCACAGGTACAGGCAGGCACCAGTGAAACAAAAGCAGCATTCCTCTGTGACTGCCAACAAGTTAAAGGATATTCAACTGCTTAAAAATCAACCCTAAAATATCAATTAACTTTTTTCCTTGATGCATCTATCATGCTGTACTACTTCAGCAAAGGTGCTTTGAGACCCTGAAGCTAAAAGTCACTTAGATGAAAAATGTGTCCCTGAGAACAGAATGCTGGACTAGCTGGTCAACTGGCTCCTTTATGTTATGTTCAGTACCAAACAAATATCTCAATACTCCTAAGAAAAAGACAAAACACTCAGCTTATCTGTAACTCAAAGTGCAGCAAACCAACATGGCAATCCTAACCAAGCTCACTCAGAAATCAATCCAAGTTAAGCGGGTGGTGCAAACTAGGGCGGCACATCAGATTTGGCTGAATCCCAGGTTGATTCAACTGGATGTGGGGGCTTTGGCTGTGTCAGGTGGAGGCAGCCCCAGATCAGGACAGGCCTCCTGAAGCATTCTTGGGCTGCCAGGGGACAGGGCATCAGGCAGGAAGGAGGGGCTTTGGCTGTATACACCTACTCTGAAGTAGGACACACGTGTGCAGGCAAACAGAGCAGGACTGAACCATTCGCTCATCAGCTGGAGCACAGGATTCAATCCTGCAGGCAGCACTGATCTGCTTCACCAGCGTGTTCCTTGCAGAGAACACACTGGAAAAGCAGACCTCAGCAGGACTGACTTTCTGCTTTCTGTAATGTGGGGGGGGGGCAGCATCTTCTCCCATATCCCTCCTGACCATATGCTTAATTAGGATTTTTAAAACCCTAATTAAACATTACCTCGTCTCTTAAACTGATTCAGGGCCAAATCCTGGCCAGTGTTCCATGGCCTTAGATCAAACTATATGCACCATTAAATGTGCATTGCTCTGGGGCTGTGGAACACCCAACAAGGATGTTGGGATACTTTTCTGCTGCCTCCTATTTAAAAAAGTATCAGGACTGCAGAACTGGGGAGAGAAGATTTAAACCCTCCTCCTTCAGCTGTACTCCCAATTAAAACCATCTCCCTTACTTTGCTATCCCTTAGTCTTTCTTTGTTTGGTGGAGGAGCATCCAAAGGAGAGGAGGGAGGGAAAGATTAAATCTCCCCACCCCACACAGAGTGAACCTGATGAAAAATCACCCATTTCATTAAAAACACACACCTTGATGCAGCTTCTAATGACATAATTAGAGTCATGTGTAGTGACACATGAAACTGTTTAGAACTGCAACTGCAATCAGATTGATCTTTTGAACTTAAATTAATCAAAATATACTATCCTGCTTTCTTCAAGCCTCCATAACACCTGGGGGTCAACCCAGCCTGGCTGTACGAGAACTTCCGTCCTCAACTCGGTGCCCTCCATATGTTACAGAACCATAGAACTGTAGAGTTGAAAGTGACCACAATGGTCATCTAGACCAACCCCTTGCAATGCAGGAATCTTTTGTCCAGCATGGGGCTCGAACCCATAACACTGAGATTGAGAGTCTCTGGTTCTACTGGCTGAGCTATCCCCATCAGCCCCATCCCACAGGCCCAACAGTCAGGAACGGTGCAAGGTGGGAGTCCAACAACATCTGATTGTGGGAGGCTACACTAGAGTCACAGGACCAAATTCAAGCTGAGCAAGGCTCATTACAGAAAACAATTAGAGGTCTAGTAAGACTGCTGCACAGCAAAACTCTAATAATAATAAACAAACAAACAAACAAACAAATCATCCCACCTTTCTCCCAGACCAGGACTCAAGGTGGCTCAAGCAAACCTCTCTTAGGAAGCCCTTTTCAGGCAAGCAGGGAAGCCTGTAATCATAATGTTTTGAGTTTTTCTGGTAATATACAACCAACAACAGTATTTCAGAACAGTAGTAAGTACATATTGGTTGGAAGTCACCCATCTTACTATGCCTTGAGTGCTGTGCCTCAAATGAGCCTCATTTCTCTCTTTCAAGCCAGAGGGGACACGAATGACAAAGGCCATATCCTTACAAGCTGTTGTTTCTTCTTGCTGTTGTTTTTAGGTTACGTAACATTTTTGAAGCCTTGGGAATGCTCACCGTAGCTTACAAACAGACCCTTAAGAGAGGCCTGGAGCCAGTTTTAAAAGTCAAGAGGACTAGATAATGACTAGCGCTTAGGACTTTTTAGTTGAGAGAAAAGGCAGTAAGAGGCGACATAATAGAAGTTTATAAAATTATGCGTGGCATGGAGAAAGTGGATGGAGAAAGGTTTTTCTCCCTTGCTCACAATACTCAGGGATATCCCATGACATTGAATGTAGATGATTCAGGACAAATAAGCAAAGAAAGGCTATCAATGGCCAGGATAGCTATCCTCTGCCTCCACAGTCAGAGAGGCAACAATGCTTATCAATACCAGTTGTGGGAAACCACCAGAGGGGAAAGTGTTCTTGTTTTCAGGTCCCACTTTTGAGTTTCCCACAGGCATCTGGGTGGTCCCTGTGAGAAGAGGAAGCTGGACTAGACGGGCCATTGGCTTCATCCATCAGTTCTTCTTATGTTTAAGATGTGCGCTTGGCCTCTGCAGTCTCCATGATTTGATCATATTTCTGTCACCATCTTTGCCATCTCAGATACACAAACATTTCACTGTCCCTTCAACATCCAGCTCTCCATAGTATTCCACTGAGTCCAACAAAACCCTGCATGGAAGTTTGAAAGGGGGGAATGCATAATGCCACCTTATTTCACAAGCCTTCTTGCTTATTCCTCACTTAGCAGACTTCCCTTGTGCCAAAACGAACATGATATTAACCCCCATTCACCAAAAAGCAAAACAGTCTATCTTCATTCTCATTAGAAGCCATACGAGGGAAAGTATTTTAGAAGTGCAAGGTGTACGCTTTGTATCTTACACCAACTCAAAAGAAATCTAAAACTAGACTGAGCAACTGACATTTTAAAAATATTCATCTTGACCTCTTTCTAAAGAATTAAAACCCTTTCTACCTTTTCACTATACTATTTTTTGAATTGTATATATTGACCATCATTTCCCTCAAAAGGCAGACTTTTTTTGGATATGTGGGGGGGGACACCCTGAATCTACAGTGACAAAAGCTAAGATCTTGGTCTTCAATTAAATGCCCCATAAAAAGCAATAATCTATTACCATAAGCTACTCTAAACACAATAATGATGATTAGTAGAAACAGTCAGCATCACAAAACACTTAGTGTGGCTGCACTTCAAAATAAAAAAATGTAGCCCGATATATCCCACAAACTCTAAACATTTATTGGCCCACTAGTATGAGAACCTACAATGCCTATTAGTGAAGTTGGTTATAAGTAACCAGACTGCAATTATGTTTTCTTGCAACAGATGTGGGAATCCTATGGCCCTCTGTATGTTGTTGAACTTCCATCAACCCCAGCCAGCATTGCCAAATGTCAGTCTAAAAAGTAAGACACAAAGATTTCTCACCCAGTACAGTCCAAACTCACAGGTCTAACGTGTACACTAGGGCTGTTTGGTGATCACCATTCTCCATTTAGGTCAACCACTGTCCAAACCAGCCCAATGAGAAAGCTGAGTTTGGAACCAACCCAGTGGGCATGCACACCACCCTTCTTCATTCCTCCTTTCAGGACAGAAGTGAGTGAATTACTAGGAACTCTTCAACGAACTATAGTTTCCTGTTTTATCCGAACTGGGAAACTAATATTATGCTAACTTCAAACTATACCTTCTTATTCTGGCTCATTTCAAAGCTATTAGCCATAGCTTCCCAGGTCAGACAAAACAGTAAACTATAGCTAATGGAAAAGAGTCTTGTGACGCGGCAGCTAAAAAAGCCAATGCAATTCTGGGCTGCATCAATAGGAGTATAGCATCTAGATCAAGGGAAGTAATAGTGCCACTGTATTCTGCTCTGGTCAGACCTCACCTGGAGTACTGTGTCCAGTTCTGGGCACCACAGTTCAAGAAGGACACTGACAAACTGGAACGTGTCCAGAGGAGGGCAACCAAAATGGTCAAAGGCCTGGAAACGATGCCTTATGAGGAACGGCTAAGGGAGCTGGGCATGTTTAGCCTGGAGAAGAGGAGGTTAAGGGGTGATGTGATAGCCATGTTCAAATATATAAAAGGATGTCACATAGAGGAGGGAGAAAGGTTTCTGTTTTCTGCTGCTCCAGAGAAGCGGACACGGAGCAATGGATCCAAACTACAAGAAAGAAGATTCCACCTAAACATTAGGAAGAACTTCCTGACAGTAAGAGCTGTTCGACAGTGGAATTTGCTGCCAAGGAGTGTGGTGGAGTCTCCTTCTTTGGAGGTCTTTAAGCAGAGGCTTGACAACCATATGTCAGGAGTGCTCTGATGGTGTTTCCTGCTTGGCAGGGGGTTGGACTCGATGGCCCTTGTGGTCTCTTCCAATTCTATGATTCTATGATTGTCTGCTTGCTGCCTTGCTCAAATAAAGGAGTTGTGCACACACCCACAATATTCACACATACAGTGGTACCTCGGGTTACAGACGCTTCAGGTTACAGACTCTGCTAACCCAGAAATAGTACCTCGGGTTAAGAACTTTGCTTCAGGATGAGAACAGAAATCGTGTGGCGGTGGCACAGTGACAGCGGGAGGCCCCATTTGCTAAAGTGGTGCTTCAGGTTAAGAACAGTTTCAGGTTAAGAACGGACCTCCAGAACGAATTAAGTTCTTAACCCAAGGTACCACTGTATCTGATTTTATTAAACAGAGATATGATCATCTGAACCCAGCCATTGTGCAGGAATACACTCAATGTCCTAAAATGACAACTGTCTCCAAGTGCACCCCTCAGGATGATTGCTCAGCAGTGTCACAGAGTTCAATTTTGTAGTCTTATCATGCATAACCACCAAAAAATGTTCAGCCCAACTCTTACTGCAAATCACATTTTGATTGGGGGCAGGGGGAGGGGTAGAAGGAGGAAAATGGATTATTACTAGTCTTCCTCCCATATATCTTATTAGAAACATGTTACTCTCTACACTGGTGTCAATTTCTGTCCAATTACAGAAGGATGTGTGTGGGAATTTTAAAATAAGCTTTAGGGGTGGCATGGCAATGTGTATGCAATAAAATTGCTTTGTTTTGCCACACACTCAGCTCAAAGAGAAACTGGCAAGACAGTGGGAAGGCGTACATGACAGTCCTGTAATTCCTTTGTTAAGTGATATCGTTTATACAAACCTACTAAAAATAGGACCCTGGGTTAGCAGATTATTCTGTTTATTTTTTGAACATATTTCACCATACTACCCAAAGCTGTTTATGAAGAAATTCAGAGTTGAATGTTCACATAACAGGAATGGCAACAAATGACACCATATGGAACCATGACAGGAAACAAGACTGTCGATGGTCAACAATGTAATTTGTTTTCTTGTGGATTCCACTGGAAAGAGGCACTGGAATGTGTTTACGCAGGCGTAGCCAACGTCGTGCCCACCAGATGCTGAAATGTGCGTGAGTCACAACTCCTCCTACAGCCAAGCCTGTGAACATCAACTAGACAAAAAAAGATCCCAACCAATTCCTCCTAACAGGTTAATAAGTAGTAGTTTAAAAAGACTTACATAAGAATTAGACTATACCTTCTATAAAACATAGATAATTGATGACAGACAGAGAATTCTGTTTTCACTCCATCCCAAAAGCTATTTTTAATAGGACAGAGCCAACTACCACAATTCATGGTTCCTGATAAACCGAACTGGATATATACTTGTGGCCTTTGCAGTGCTTAACTCCACATCCCATTTTAGATAATATAAAGCAGCTTCAGTCAATTGAAATAAACCTAAAAACAACAACTCCTCAGGTCTCTTTAATGCATTCATGGGCATGGGACAGAGATAGAAATTTGCAGGGCGCCAGGTGCATTTTGCACCTAAAGATTCTCCATTTGCAAGCACCTCAAAAAGTCTGGGTGCCATTTTTTGTGTGCCTGACTGACATTCAAGGATTACCAAAATGTATGTGCTTTGAAGCTTCGAAGTATATGTTAAGGATAGACAATATGTTAAGGAATTTAACAATAAAGAGTAGAGTGTTTTGAAACATGAAGTATGGTACCAATATTTTTACTGTAAGCACCAAATTAAACATGGACAGTGGTACCTTGGGATGCGAACGGGATCCGTTCTGGAGCCCCGTTCGCATCCCAAACGTAACGCAAGACGCGACGGTGCGTCTGTGCATGCGTGGGTCGCATTTCACCGCTTCCACGCATGTGTGTGACGTCATTTTGAGCGTATGCGCATGCTCCGTTACTTCCGGGTTGCCTCAAGAGCGCAACTCGAACGTGCTCAACCCAAAGAACATTCAACTCGAGGTATGACTGTATTAAGAATTTCTGCATAAAATGTGTTATTAACAATGTGTCACTTACGTGAATTGCATATTAATTCACAACCCAGGTCCCAGAAGCCATTTGGCTCCTAGCTTTTCTATCCCAGTTTCTAACACTGGTATGGGACAATTGGCACACAAGACAATATAAATTACTTTAAA